TTCGGCAGTTAGTCATATGCAGTTAGAAGGGTCTTCCCATTAGAAAGTACCAATTTATTTCATGCCAATCAGAGATGATACTGATGATAGCATAGCCAAAAGTTACGAACTTACAGTAACTAAAAGATCTGGTGGAGAGAATTAAACCGCCCAATAACTAGACCAGTTATTGGAACGTAGGCTGAGAGATTACAGATTACCCTTCAAGATGCACATCAGTATTTCAGAGGCTGCAACTTTTTATGTCAGATTCAACTTCTTTAATATACACAAATAAAAGTCTTTCATTCACGTACAGCAAAGATGTTACAATTTAGAGAAAACTGTGACAGTTTCAGGTTTCCCGTCTTTTAAAATAAATGATACTTAATATGAGCACTTTCAAGATGGCCTACAAAAGTCATAACTGTGTAACTCTCCTGCTATATTAAATACATGAAAGACAGAAATACTGACTACCACGTTACCAGAACAAGAGAATGCACCAACTTCTCCTTTTTCATTGGAACAGGTATTCCAGATAGTCACTTAGTAAGGAATAAAAAAAGGCAACTTGTCTTTACTTTCAAACACAGTGACTGCTGTTACACTGACCGTATGAAGTCATTCCATCCATTGAACTCTTTCCATTACCAGAAGAGATGGCAGGGATGCCGTCCTGAAGAAGTGCAGCAAGATCTCTGTACCCTTCATGAAGCAGTGCATTATAAAAGGATCTATATGCATTATTATCTTTTGTAAGAATAATGTTTATTAGCATAGCTGCTCGTTCTTTCTGTGTATTCTAGAAAAAAAAACATTAAAAGAGATGTTATACAAAATTAAGAGACCTTAGAAATCATCTAATTATCACTCTGTCAATTACAGACTGTTTACAGTTACAGAAACATCGTTTACTACGCTTACTAAAGGTGGTTACTGTTTATAGTTACAGAAGTGTCCTTGCCCATGGCAGGAGGGTTGGAACCTGGTGATCTTTAAGGTCCCTTCCAACCCAAACCGTTCTGTGATTGTATATACCAATGAGACGTGGTTGGCAAGATGTTGCTCTAGTGATGCATGACAACCTGTTTCTTGAATTTTGCCAGAGATCAGAGTGCAGCAGTGCTCAACCAGAAGATGCTAGGCAGGACATGGTGCAGTGAGACATTCACGAGAAACGAGATGGCAAGAGTTGTGAGATACAGTCAAAAACTTTGTAAGGAGCTAAAGCTAAGGACCTAGAGTAAGGTGGGTCACAAAGTGACTTCATGAATGTGACTTCATGACTGACTGGGGCTGCTGAGGACAATACCCTCTGAAAAGTTTTGCCTGCCTGAATATGACAAGTCAAAGACGGATGCCACTTAGAATCGGCCTTTATAGCAGTCCTGTCAGCAAACTGGTCACCTGTCAGAAAACAGTGATATATTATTTTTGCATAGGCCATCAAATCAGAAATTCCTAGAAAGATCAAGTCATCTGGAAACTCCAGTTTCAGTTACTCAACATGAATAAAAGGAGGAAGAGGACTTGGTCAGTAAATTAGTTAAAGGAAAAAATATTACAATTAATATTCCTATTCAAGCATTTATCTTTCTAACCATGCTGCTCAGATATCTTTAAAAATATGTAAAACCTCCACGGGAAATACAGATTAGATTTGCATCATGATAGAAAGTTCTGACAAGAGCTCAGAGAAGGAAAGAATCAGTTCCAGTTCTCTCCACAGGTCACTGGGCTATGTGGAGAAAGTATAAAATACATCTCTACCATTAAATAGTGCCTCTTGAGCAACATCGACCTGAAGGGCATTTCATAAAGAATGTTTGATTGTAGCTTTGCTGTCCCTAGGAGCTACCCCAGAACCCTAATTCATAAACAGCCTTCAACTGGACCAAGTCTTTAACTCAACCTTATGAAGTGCAATAAAAACTTCATGCTAGGTATAGACTTCAGAATTTGCTGAATCCAGGAATGAGACAGACAGAAATTACTATTTTTAAAAAGGATGATAGAACATGTGAGCAGACTAGGAAGACAAATAACAGTGAGAGACGATTCTACCTGTTGTCTCACTCTCTCCTCCTCCTGCAATGTTAGTACTTCGTCAGAAACCATACGATCCATAATGTAAGAGGTCTTGATGTCTTTCTCCAATGCTTGGCGATTCATAAATAAATAATTCCTACTCTTGACATCCATATTTCTTCAGTGTGAAAAAGAGGGGGGAAAAAACAGAAGTTGAGTCAGAACGAGAACATAACTTACAAGTACAAGGAAAAAAGTTTTTAAATGGCTAATGAATTTTGGGTTTTAAAGTCAGAAAAAGTAGCAGAGCAGCTGCATTAATGGAAAAACAGCAAATCTTCAGGCAACCTTGTCCTACAAACTGCAGAGAGCTAAAAAATTTAGTTGTTTTTTTACTTTCTGTCTCGATAAAGAGACTTTCATACTACTGTAACATGAATTTAATTATAAGACTCACTAGCCTAGCTTGGCTGGACAGTACAGCAGCATCAAGAAAACACTGGAGAAATCTAATATTCCTTTTCAACAGAATAAAAAAAAAAAAGGCATATTAATAGTTAAGTTGCAATAGTTCACAAGCTATTGTAAACATGAATAGCATTCTTGAAACAGTTTAGATGCCATATGCTACCACGTTTAATAAAAACATCCAGCTAAGCATTATTATAACGAATCTGACTACAGTATTTCTGATTGTTCCACTTGCAGGCATATAAAGCAGGTATAAAAAGAATTTCAATCTTAACAGTTAATTAAGCTCATAGTAAAACTTGCGTTCTCTATGAATTTATGTTTATGAACACTTGCAGAACTAAAGAATCACAGTCTATGCAAGCTTCTCATATACTAGGAACTTGCTAAATGTCTCTATGAAAAGGTCTTCTCCCCACCCACTACATCCCTCAAATTTTTTAAGTCCTTGGATCATGTGATTGCGACAACACAACTGGTCTCATGGCTGACAGCACCGGAAAGAACTACAACAGAAAATAAAATCCATGTGTACCAAATCCCATGAGATAAACTCGATGTTGTCTCCAAATTCAGGACTCCATACAAGTCCACTCAGACCTTGACACATGACAGGAGACGGAGCACCCAACACCACCAATGACTGAGCTACACCTTCCTTTGTCAACACCTCACACACAACTATGAACTTGCATTCTTGACGTCATACAAAAAAAAAAAATTGCCTGAAGACAACAGAAAGCGAAAACTACTGTCTGCTGCGGAAACGGTTTCCAGTACTAATCAGCTGGCCCCGAGAGTCCCAAATGATCAAAACGATCTCTCCGATCCCACTCCTGCGCAAGGACCGAAGGCTCCGAAGGCAACTTTAAGCTCCTCCAGGAGGAAGCATGCAGCTGCCTGCAGAACCGCTCACCTTGTCCTTCACTCCCTCCTTCAGGAGCGGGGCAGGGGCTGAACG